GGACTAGAAGACCTCCAAGGTCCCTTCCAACTCTCTATTCTATTCTATTCTATTCTATTCTATCCTATCCTAAACCTGAAGACCAACTGGCCAGCGCATGGATGCCTGTTTTGGGGGCATTTTTGGCTGTTTTCCAGGCCATTTTGGGGGCGTTTTTCAGGCCTGACTATCCGACTAGTGCGCCGGAAACAGGAAGAGCAGCTGGCAATGGCACACATGTCCCCAGAAAGGGCTCTGCATGCAACCTGTGGCACGCATGTCATAGGTCCACCATCACTGGTTTAAACAATTTCAAAAGGATAGCAAGCAGTTATAGGACACATTATGGGTTCTAGTGAAGGTAACTGTGGAGCCTTAATTAATACAGTAGGACCTAAATATCAGCCCAATTGAATTCACTTAATTCTTTTTTAACCTCACAGTGGAAAAAGTCCTTGAACTGAACAACTATTACGCACTGCAAGGTAACACACACTGTTCCCAACTATAGGCAGAACAGCGTTCCCAGGGAACTAAATCCAGCCAATTAGTTGCAAAGATCAACAGATTTATTGTGATGTAACATCAAGATTTCTGGAAATGAGCGAGCTAAACACATGCTTTTTGGAACACCCCCTAGTTGTGCAACAGTTAATTATATCATTTTAAAGCCAATTCAGCCCTAGGTCTAAATATTAAAATTGGCAACTTCCTTAACATTCTTAAATGCATGGTGCTTTTCCTTGGGTACAGCATTTATTGACAAGTTTTGCCAATGCGACAAGTGGTAATTTCAAAGAATAACGAACAAAGAATGAGATTTGCATTAGTGTATTTTTAGATTGCGAACTATAGTATATCAGGAAGTATGATAGTCTTGTTATTCCTAAGAGCATGAGTGTATTAGTAACACTCAATCTCAACTTAAAGTCTCTGCACCTGTTAATCATCGTTCTTCAGAAGTGTAAACAGACATCACTGTGTTTCATTATTTTTACTATAATATAAACTAATTTGAACACTAGTCGCTCTCTGTTAATGTATGCCAATTATGGAAGTAGACCTTTGAGATGTTCTTTTGTGAAATGAGTAAATAACAAATATTAANCTTCCTTCCTTCCTTCCTTCATGCCTGCCTTCCTTCCACCCATCCATCCTGCCATCCATCCATCCATGGTGCACAGTGGTTAGAATGCAATATTGTAGGCTAATTCTGCCAACTGCCAACAGTTCGATTCTCACCAGCTCTAGGTTGACTCAGCCTTCCATCCTTCCAAGGGGGATAAAGTGAGGACCCAGATTGTTGGGGGCAATAGGCTAACTTTGCAACCCACTTAGAGAGGGCACTTAGGGCACTCACTTGTAAACCTTTAGAGGGGGTAAAGCACTGAGAAGCGGTATATAAGTCTAAGTGCTTTTGCTATTGCTGTGGTTGATTGGGTGTTGCATTAGGAGCCCTGGTAGCGCAGTGGTTAGAATATGGTATTGCAGGCTGTCTCTGCCCGCAGTATGGAGTTCAATCCTGACCTGGCCAAGGTCAACTCAGCCTTCTGTCCATCTGAGGTGTGTAAAATGAGGCCCCAGATTGTTGGGGGCAAATAGGTTGACTCTGAAAAACCGCTTAGAGGGGGCTGTAAAAGCCCCGTGGAACGATATATAAGTTTAAGTCCTATTGCTATTGCTAAAAAGGAGATTCCCCCCCCCCACCCGCCCATCCAAATGGTTCTGAGAGCAGAAAGAAGATGGATTTGAAGTCTCCCTGGGGAGACCCATCACTCTCGCTTTGCTTGCTGTTCCTTGCCAATGTTTGCCCAGCTTAGACCAAACACACAACCCAGCTCAAAAGCAATTTTGGTGCTCAAGATGTTCTGTTCAAACGTTTCACGCTCCGCATGGCTAAATGTGTCTTTGGCAGTTGTGTGTGATGCATGGGAGGGGGGGGTGCGGGTGGAGGGGGAGATGGGCTACATAAGCAAGACCCAACTTCTCTAGAACATTCGATTTCTCTTATTTTTTTAAAAAACAAGAACCAAAAAATTAAAGAGAGAATCAATTTGCATGCACACTTTCTCATAACGGCTTCACTGGAATTCCTACCTTCTTTTCCCCCAAAATAAGACCTCCCCGGATAATAAGCCCAATCGGGCTTTTGAGCGCATGGGCTAAAATAAGCCTTTGCCCGAAAATATTGCAACACAGTAGCAGCCATGAGGTGACCACACTCACCACCTCCTGCACCTCAAAAATAATAAGACCTCCCCGAAAATAAAGCCAAGCGCTTATTTCAGGGATCAAAACAAAATAAGACCCTGTCTTATTTTGGGGAAAACATGGTAGCAGATTGTGCAAAGAAAAGCTTTTATTTATGTATTTACTTCTTCGTGTATTATTATTTCTTTCTTTATTAAATTTATTGGCCACCCATCTTACCCCGCCCAGGTAACTCTGACCAATGTTAACCAAATTCAACTTTTTCCAGGAGGTAGACCTGGCTGACTTACAGCCAAAATTCCTGTTGCTAAGTGAGACATTTGCTAAGTGAGTTTTGCCCCGTTTCACGATTTTCATTGCCACGATTGTTAAGTGAATCACTGCAGTGGTTAAGTCAGTGGTTAGTTTAACAAGATTTTGCTTGTTAGAACATCACAAAAGGTGATCTCGTGACCCCAGGGTACTTGCAACCGTCATAAATATGAATCAGTTGCCAACCATTGGAATTTTTGATGGTATGACCATGGGGACGCCGCAACCTTTGTAAGTGTGAGAAGCGGTCATAAGTCACTTTCACTTAGCAATGTACATTGTGGTTGTAACGTGAGTACTATCTGTGCAGTTTGACGTTTCATTCAAAGGAAATGTCACAATCTCAGGCCCGGATTAAAACGCGCCAGCGATTCATCGCAAAAACTGAAGGCTGCCTCCAAGAGAGGCCACATCAATTTTCAACACAAAACACACAAGCAAAGTTGTAAGATGCCAAGCCAAAGATGATTTTAGCGTTGGCAGTTTGAACAGAACTGTTTGTAACAAGGGATCGCTGCGTTAACACATCGGAGAGGTTTTCTTTTTTATTTATTCTTGCTTGTTTTTTTCCCCCCTTGTAATTGACAGGAGATCCATGCTGGGAATTCAAAGGAGAGATTTTTAGGGCAGAGAAAATCTAGCCTGGGGTGGGGGGTGGGGGAATCCTGCAAAGTTGAAAGAGAGAGAGAGAGACAAAAACAGGAAGTCCTGCAATTACTGTCAGGGTTCCGATGGACACCCTAATCAAATCATGAGCCTCCAGCCAAGCTTCAAAAGAAATCCAGTCATTTATTAGGATTTTTATGTCAGTACGTACACCAAGTGAAGCCAGCTCTGACCCCATATAATTTACGGCCCAATCATGACCCTGTTCCCCCCGCCCCTTCCAGGGTGTGTCATCACATTCACAACGAGGCAATTTCGTGGATTGTAGAGACCACTCCACTACAACTGTAGAGACCACTCCCCTTCGGCCTGAGTCAATTCCCTCACGGCTACGATTTTCCCCATCGCGCTTCCGTTTTAATAGAAGCAGTAAATGCTTCATTCTCTCCTTTTTCGTTGAAGCCAGGAGATGCCAAGCAAACCTATTTGCCGCTCGGGGGAAATTCCGGCTGTCGCAGACCGAAAAACGAACCACCGGGGCCGGGCAGAATTTTCAAAAGCTGGTTTCATTCCGGCACCCTTTGGGGCCCAGCTAGCGATGATTGCATTCGGAAACGGGAAAGGCCTCGCCTTCGATAATGGGAGCAATGGCTGAATGTGGGGGATTTTGATTATGCTAACAAGATTATTCCATGCAGCTGTGTGAGGGAAAGCAACGCCCGGCACGCAGCCCGTCTGTTAATCCGGCTTTAACAAAAGCTGACTTGGATGGAGATGTTTTATTGAAAAAAAAAAAGGGGGGGGGGGTTGGCAAGCCTTCTTGGCCCGCTCAAAATTGGCCAGCTAAAATGAAATGAAAAGTGGGTAAACATTTGCAAATCGATGTAGGTGTGTCTCGGGTGGTAGGATTCAAAAAATTTAACAAGTGGTTTTCTGCCCTAATGACCAGTTGGGTAGGCCTGGCTCGGTGGTCATGTGACTGTGTGGGCATGGCCAACTCAACGTCACTTCCGTCGAGGGGCGCTTCGCCTTAGCGGTTACAATATCATAAGGGTTAACCGGAGAGGCAGTTTCTGTAAGCAGGGCTAGGAACAACACCAGAATGTTTCCTTCCTGCCTGCCTTCCTTACAGGATTAGCCCTGTAACAGTGGTGGGTTCCGGATCTACCTGCTCGGTGGAGCCGTACGCTCCATGTGTGGAAGCCCCGATCGGCTGAAATACCGGTAAGGAGCATGGGAGGGCCCTCTGGAGCACCGTACTGGAACGGTACCTGGTGCTCCCAGCAGGCACCAGTACGCCCGTACCGAGGTGAACCGGTCGTATCCCACCACTTCCCTGTAAAGTGGGAAAAAAGAGGGGATTTCTTCCAACAACCAGTTCTCCCAACTGCTTAGAACCACGATGGCAAACCTATGGTAGCCATATTTGGTGGCACTCCAGCTGATATTTTTGTCCTTCTGGAAGGCCAGGGCAGGCTGTTTTCGCCCTCCCCAGGCTTCAGGAATGCCTCCGGAGGCTGGAGAGAGCGAAAAACGGCTCCAACCGGAAGTTCAGAAACAATCCATTTCCAGCTCCCAGAGGGTCGCCAAGGGAGGCCATTTTTGCCCTTCCCCAGGCTCCAGGAAAGGCTCCTGAGCCCGGGGAGGGGTCTCATATGCATGCACGGTGTGTGTGTGTCATGCGTGCATGTGCAGGTAAACAGGGAGATTGAGTGGGCACGCGTGCACACACGATTTTGCATGTGTGCGCAATTTTGGCACGCCGTAAGAAAAAGGTTCGGCATCCCTGGCTTAGAAAGTTAACAACCGGTTCTCCCGAATAGGTGCGAATCGGCTGAATCCCACCACTGGTGTGTGTGCGCGCGCGCAGTAGTTCCCATCACAATGCACTGCCTGCCACACAGGTAGTCCTCGACTTACAACAGTTTGCTTAGTGATCGCTCGAAGTTACAACGGCACGGGGAAAAAGTGACTGGGGACCGTTTTTTCACACTTACAAGACCATCGCAGCATCCCCAGGGTCATGTGATTTACATTTGGATGCTTGGCAAACTGACTCACACTTACGACGGTTGCAGTGTCCCAGGGTCACGTGAGTAGCCCTTCCGCGACCTTCGGAGGAGCAAAGTCAATGGGGAAACGAGATTCACTTAGCAACCGCGGTTACTAACTTATCCACGGCAGCGACTCACTTAACAACGGTGGCGAGAAAGGTCGTAAAACCGGGCAAAGCTCCCTTAAGAAACGTCTCACTCGGCAACATCAATGTTGAGTTTCAGGTGTGGTCATAAATTGAGGATTACCCATATAGCCCTGGGACCTTGGAGGGGAGGGGGGGGGGAAAGGGACAAACCACGATTCTTCCGGATCAAGAATTTGAACTGCCTTACCAGGCATCCCGTGTATTAAGTCCCCGCAGAGGACTAGGAACTTTGGTCTCGGGTTAAGGCGGTTAATGGCTTCCACCGCTTGCCGGGTGAGCTGCAATTCGGCTTCCCACTCGTCCCCACCGCTGTTGCAGTCGCCGATGCTGTAAGCCTTCATCAGCCCAAATTGAGGGTCCGCTCCTTGGATGAAATAGAAAGGGCCCTTCCACTCCCGCTCCGCCTCTGGAAATCAGAACAACACAAAACAAAACAGGGGAAAAACTGATTAACCAGAATAGTGTTCTCTTCTCATCCCTGGCAGGAATGGAATGGAATAAGGAATAGAATAGGATAGAATAGAACAGAATAAGGAATAGAATAGAATAGAACAGAATAAGGAATAGAATAGAACAGAATAAGGAATAGAACAGGATAGAATAAAGGAAAAATGGAATGAATGGAATAGAACAGAGAATAGAGAACAGACTANTTTTGAAGCAGAAGATCAAACAGTCACTTGTCTGAGATAATAGATATCAGGGGTGGCAAAGTCGATTTCATTGAGAGCCGCATCAGGGTTGAGTTTGACCTTAGGGAGCTGGGGTAGGGAGGCGTGGCCAGGCTGGGCGTGGCCAGCTCGACGACACTCGTGTTAGGGGGCCCTGTAGTGGCCCGAGCACTCTGCCAGTGAAAACAGGCTCCCGAGCTCCGTTTTCAGCTGCGACAGCCTCCTGCAACCCTCTGCCAGCGAAAACGGAGCTCGGGAGGGCTGCACGCAGCAGCCCCCCCCCCCAAGCTCCATTTTTGCTGGCAGAGGCACTGCAGGCCAGCCCTTCACTGTTTCTAGGGAGGCCCTACAGGCCTGATCTCAGCTCCCCGGGGGCAAAATCCAAGCCTTGAGTTTGCCACCCCTGGTATAGGTTCTCCTGTTTGACCAGGGGCTGGACTAGAACTGCGGTCACCAACTAGCGGTCCGTGGACTGCTGGTGCTCCGCGAGAAAATTTCGGTGGTCTGCAGAAAAATCTTTGCATTTTTTTATACTGCACTAAGTCTGGGATCCTCAAACTGTGGCCCCTGGGCTTGATACGGCCCGCCAAAGCAATTACTCCCATTTGCTGACGGGATGGGGTCCTTCAGGCACTTAGCTTGGCTGCCTGTTTAGTGGCTCTAGCTGCTCCCTCCTTCCCTGGGAGTCCAGGCCCTTCAGTGAGCGGTGCGTGAAACTTCGGCTGGGGTCCTCAAAAGACAGTTCGCTGGGATGGTGGCGATCTAGCGCCTGGCCTGGCCACAAGACCCACATTCATTCTTGGCTCTATTTGAGATTCCTAGCTGCAATGGACAGCAAATGTAGGGTTGACCCCAGCGGCTTCTTCCCTGTTAACAGGGCAGGCCAGCTCAGTGCCTGAAGGACACCATCCCGTCACGAATTCATATTAGCGGTCCACGGGATTTAAAATTATGAATTTAGTGGTCCTGGGGGTGGGGGTGGTTCCGAAAGGTTGGTGACCCCTGGACTGGAAGACCTCCGAGGTCCCTTCCAGCTCTGTTCTATTCTAATCCCCCAGCTCTTGTAAAATACGACAAAGTCTTTGGCTTTTAAGACGCCTGGGACAACTGCAGCAGCAAAAAAAATAAAATAAAATAAAATAAGGCATCATCAGCTAAAGTGGGCTGCAATCAAGCAAAACACTTGGCACCGTTTATGAACCCGTTAAAGGAACTAAGTAATCAGCGGCAGTGTCTTTGGTTATGTAAATGGTGATTAAATGGGGAGGGGGGGTTGCGCTCGGATTGTTGTTATCATTACTAGTAGGGCAGGGATGGATTCTTTTCCCCTCCCCCTCCCCCACCAGCCCCCTTTCCCCTTGATTGTATGGAAGCCTTTGATGATACCCAGAATAAGCCGATGCGTGCTATTGCAGGAGGAGATCGGCAGGGTTATTAGAACTTTGCGGGGAACGGAACTCTGCTGCAGAATGTCGCTCCTTGGTTATCGAGGTGATGCAGATGTTGGGGTGCTGATTGGAAAGCTTAAGAGATCTTCCCTTCCGCAATTGGGACCTCTGGATATCTCGGTATCAATTTTAATAGTTTAATGATGCCTCTGTGGGGGACCTTGGTGCTCTCTGAGCTTGGTGGTTTTCTCGCAGAGGTTTCATTACCCAACTATCAGAGCTAGAAGGGAGAGGGGTTTGCAACGAGAAGAATGATGAAGAGAAGAAGATGGAGAAGTGTTGTGGCCCAGCAGGAGCCGTTGGAGCTGCCACCAGACTCCCGACAGCAAGGGGCCCTCTGAGTCAGCTTTGGAGGATGTGGAGGACCCTGGACAGGGTTCCGACTCTGAGCAGGG